TAATCAGCGTAGCAACTATAAAATCAGGCGAAATCGACTGTTAATATATGCCTTTTTCTTTGACCATGATAGTGAGTGTGGCTCCAAGTCTCGGTTGAAAACTCTCAACAAAGACGTTAAATATGAAATCGTAAAACTAATGTCCTTTAGCATAGCTGTGATTACCTATATTCTCGATAACGCATATGCGATATATTCTTGGTTTTATTCAATTTACTGCGTATCAGGCTAGAACTGAAGAGGAATCTCAGTTGTCACATCTTACGTGAGATGTTGGTCTTGAGCTGTCATAAATCTTTTCGTTAGTTCCTAATGCTCGTTGAAAACTATGATTATTGAACCTTCGATCTCATATTCTCGATACTCAGTAAAAATATGCTCGTCCAATTGATGTTCTTACTCCAACAGAACTCTGCACCGGCTACGCTAACGTCATAGTACATACGCGTCCGGTGAACCACTTAAAGATCCCTGAATACGGAACAATAATTGATACTATACTCGATGATATCGTGCTACAAGATCAGAAACATGTCCTCTTTATTTTATTTGTTACTGTTGCAGGTATATAACGTATAAAAGATTGGTGCTTACCATTTACACTAGGTAATATCCTTCGAAACCATACTCTAGCGAGGAATAACAAACAAACAATATTATTGTAAGCTATCCGAAAACATGTCAAGTTTGTGAATGTGATTGATTTTGAAAGCACAATGATTATCGACACAGAATTTCTGTGGTTAATTTGGTCGAGAGTGTTTGTGAGTCGCATTCCATTAGAAGCGTTTAACGGTCGAAACAAAGGTTTAGATTCAAATCAAAATTAAGTGCAGTCTAGTTGCAACCAAACCGGAAATTCTTTTTCCTTACGTAAGAAGTATTTCCTTTTTTAGATTCTAGGAATACTTGAAGCGCTGCCTGGGAAAATAATACATATGGGAATATGATTACTGTAATCGATGCATGGCTCTTTAAAATTAGGAAACATGTGTTTAATATCCCGCCACTTATTCTGCAATAAAATTGACTCGTGTCGCCTGATGCACTGAGATCGGTGAATAAGAATACTTAAAAATGGATGAGCACCTACTTGGCCTACTTGTCGTCCATATGAGAGCCGAGTCTAGTAGGGAAATAGACCGTGAAGCAAACATGACAATTATTATTAATTGTATTCCTCTATATTCATCTGTCGGGCCTCAACAGAACGATTATATATTCAAATAGCACCGGAAGTTCAAAAGAAAATTCGCTTCATGAATACCAAATGTAAAGGAAAAACAGGTGGCAAAATCATCAACAAACGTACTTCACAATCCCGAGTAAAACTTCCTATATAGCCAAGCGTCTCAATGTCATCTCCAGTCAAACTAACATTCACGAATATCGAAATAATTGAATCGAATGGCGGTCAAATCAAAAACTTGTGCATTGTCGAGGCTTTCGTGACTCACCAATTCAAGTCCAAAAAATATGAAGAAACAACACATCCAAAATTTTATTCTCCTTGGCACTAATTCGTTTCCTCTGTATGTTTCGTCTTCGTTTTGCTTTTATTATTATTACGGTATATTTTTAGACCGTGATCTGTGGTTTATATCAAAAAAACGTTTTACGACCATTGTTCAATTTTAATTATGAACTTCAGATTTTCCGCCATTCTGTCAGGTGGGAAATTGTTTCTCAAATTTCAAACAGATTATTTTGTTCATCCTTCTGTTCTTCTCTAACCTAATGATCACTACACAAACTTCTTTTGTCATCTAAAACTTCGGATTATTATTAGATGCAATCTGTTTTGTCTTTCTGTAAACTTATATGTCTATCAAACAACCCTAAATACGGTTGCGCATTTTAAGTAAATGATCTCGTTGGGAAAATTTTTTCATGAATTCCATTTTTATTCAGTCACACAATTCGTTAGTTTAATTAGCGGTGGAGAGAAATATTTTAGGAAGTATATCTAGCAAATATCCTAATATCACATTAGTAAGGCAAGATTTCCCCATGTCCTATTCGGCCATCAAGCTTTTATTAAGTCACCTCTTAACAATTTCAATGTCATATAATTAAACGGGAGCCGATCTTAAAAGATCATATGGACATATACAACTATGATGAATAGATGCATTGGTATTATTCTGCTTAGAATTCCTGAAATAGTGTAATTTAGAGCAAATAGTGTTAGATGAACATATTTTATTCGGAATTCGTAATCAGTGGACAATCAAGAACAAAACAATCATTAGTTCGCATAGATGCAACATAGATCAAACCTGAAACCCAGATCTACTACTCTCATAAACGGATTATAAGTCTCACAATTAGATAAACTATTTATTCGGTTTTCACATAGTGACACTAGGCTCTAGAAGTAGGAAGAAAATTATTTTCTACCGTACATTCTGGTGTTAGTAGAAACAATGATTGAACGATTCTCATCACCACCTCTATGATCGAGATATTATATCACGGAGGACCACAAAATGGAATGAAAACTAGCAATAATAAGACAAGGTAAGCTAATCCTCTGCTCTCAACTCTGTTAAGTGGACGAAAAAGATCTGAGTCAGTTGTGAAAACATGTAGTTCCACGAGCAGCCCACAAGAAAGATTGGCGAGCACACAACTCATGTGTAATGCATACAGTGCAAAAGATAGTACAAACCAATGATGTTTATGGTCCGTCCAAGAGAAAAAATATGAAGTCAAAACAATAATGAGCGCTTCAAACACAAAAATGAGATATTCAAACTTTCATAGTTAAATTGCAAAAATAGGAATTTTACGAAGTGATCTCTGAGAATCTACAATTTCTAATAAGCAATACCTTATGAATCAATTTCATTGGCCATGTACACAGTTATGTGAATGTTATGTCATACACGTAAAATCGAAACGCAATATACAATACTAATCAATGTAATAAAGGACATAATCTATACAAAAAACATACTCGAATAGGGCCACTATTCCATATGGCCACTGAGTTAATCAACCAGGTTTGAACGGTGAAACCAAGAAATCATTACAAAGACAAGGGGATAAACCATACAAAATTGGTTTGACCACACCACTGATATGAAGTTTGTGGAAGTATTGAGGTCTGGCTTCTACTAATTCAAACTAGATGGAAACTTAGTAAAACTAGTCATAAACTATGTCAACTGACGATAGTGTCGTGTCATGAATAGAGTACAATCAAATTGGTCACTTGTCTACGACCTCCTGATGGAGTGAGAGCGGAATTACCTGATGGGCACAAAGGTTCATAGCTTACCCTCTACCCTACTTAACCTTAATGCACTCGAAATCGTCCCACAAAAATTCTCCATAGGGATGACATCATACACAGACTGCACTTACCCATCCCCATAACTAGTTTCAAATGACTATGAAAGACTATGGATTCGCGTCAGTTTTAAAAAAGTTGGCTCAAATTGAACGGATTCGAAGTCTTTAGCTCAGCAAGACTGTGGCTTTATGGTCTCGTTCGGCATTAGCACTTTTACTCTTGCTTAATTCCTTACTACTGTTACCCCTTGTAAAGGGGCATAATACGCCCACTGGCATTCTCTATCAAACTCTATCTTGAGAAATCCTTTCCAATTGTTATACATATTTTCGTTGTCTGCTCCCAACTCCCGATACAATGTGTCCTTTGGTCCTTCTCTTTTCTGTTTCCCTTTAGAATTCCAAATTAATGCTTGCCTTGTGATGAGATTCGGTGATTTCCTCAATGTTGGTTCTATCCACCTGAAGCAAATTTTTCTAGTTTCCTCTTCATTTTCAAGCTGGTTCGTTCTTTTCCACAGTAGGTTGTTGCCGATGGTATCCGATAAACGGACATTGAGTATCCTTCCTAGACAATTATTTATAAATACTTTTGCTTTTTTATTATGGTTGTGGTAGTTCTTCAAGTGTCAGCTCCGTACAATAGAACTGTTTCGACGTTCGTATTGAAGTTTGTGATTTTGGTGTTGTTTGACAGTTGTTTTGAATTCCATATGTTCTTCAACTGTAGGAATGCGGCATTTACTTAGTAAGACTTAGGGTGAGAAATACGAGTTAGTGTTTTCACCATTGACTGACATAAACTATAATGTCGAATTGCTATTTATTTATATGAATCAGTGTATACTGAGCCAAAGTTTGAGTGTTGCTATCTTAAATTTTGTAAGTTCACTCATAAGATAAAGTCTCGCCCCTCGAACTCATTAGTAGTAATCTACAAAGTTTAAGTTTGCTATTTGTAACTTATCTGCAGATACATAACTGTGAACGGCCACCTAATACATAGAGACTTTGAGAAAGGTTCAGAACGTAAAGTACTTCATTTGAATAGTGGGAAGAAAATGGTATGGAAGTTAACTTGCTCGAATCTTATCAAATGTTTGCCCGTAACTTAAAAACATCAATTGACAGCTTACGCTCTATATAATTATCTCAACAAAACATAAACTGCGTCTGCTTATGAAGTAGATACTAGATAAAAACAGTATGAATTTGATGGATGCAAGTAAAGCATCTCTAATAATAAATCAACGAATATAGCTAAAGGTTCTCATCCTCAGACAGCTCCCAAAATCATTAATATTGTACATGAACGCTCTTCCTAAAGATTATAATAATATTTCACCTTCAAGAAGACTTCAGGAAGATCTCAGTAACTTAAAGGACTCTAGGAATTTAGAACAAAAAAGTGCCAGTACCACCTTGAATGTTGATGTCTTTCTTGGTTATAAATGAAAAAGACTGTTCATAAACATCGTCTAATATATATTGCAACAGAAAACTCAGGAAACTCACCTACTTCGTATTCCCTTGTCGAATTGATTCCACTGTTCTACTATTACCTTTGCTTTAATTGACTCGTACTTCTCCTTATTTTACTCCACGAATTCCGTTATTCCGATTTTATATGAGTGACCAAAGTGTCGTAGCGGCTATTGGTTTCGGTGACCTCATTCTTTTGTAAAATTAAAGAAGTAAACAACGAGAAACAAATAGAAAAAATGAGAAAATTTTGTTGAACCTCAAAATTCTCCACAAACCCTCCTGTAGACCTATATTTTAGCTGTAAGGAATCATTTCATATATAATGGCTGGCAAGATATATATTGAATATTGGATACATTGTTCCTTCTTCTGTGCTAATGAGCAGGTTTCATGAACTTGGCGTTTAGACGTGTACGCAACGTATTAGATGAGGTTTATTTGTGGTGTCTCAGCTATATGCTTATTGTTTTGTTATTTATCAACAATTAAAGGACTGAGGTTTAAGCTTAAAAACGGTGTTACAAAATGCATTCAAGATGAGGCACACAAAGACGTTATTGTACATGGTGAGTATGAGATTACTGCTCCCCATGAACACACAACCCATATCAAAGTCCGTGATGTGAAAAAGCATATACTATATCAAAGAGATAATATAAGAAGCGGTAAATTTGCATTCACAACAGAAGACTTCGATCTATTTGAGGTGTGTTTCGAAAGTCAGTCAGGTAGTTGAATATCTCCATGTCTTCTATGTTTGCTAGATAATACCGACACAGAACAAGAAGTCTTTCTTAATATCAAACACGGCACCGAGGCCAAAGATTTTGATAAGGTTTGTTGCTTACTTTTTGCTTATTTATGTAGATGGCGAAAGCAGAGAAATTACAACCAATCGAAGTGCTACTGAAAAAACTAGAAAGTCTAGCCGATGAAATCGTGCAAGATTTTGTTGTCATGCATTCGAAAAGTAGCAAAATGCGAAACATCAACGGTAAGTGAGCCTGTTATCACATTCCTGTTGCTCCATATGTGATATAACAAACTTCCGAGTTCGTATAAATTGATGTTCAATCCCATTATCGTGATAGTGATCACTATTGACATACTAAACTGGCAAAGCGTTAATAACTTGGGTTTCCGTCATCATTTTCTGCAACTTACTACAACAATAGTTGTCCAGTTAGCACATTTCTAGAATCTTAAGGTGAAATAGGTTTGACTGTCATCGATAAGTCGCTATTGTGTTGCCCGTACTATTCTAAAATATTCCGAAGTTGTTAGGTTCCTCATTCTTTTCGACAGCGATTATGTACGGCTCTGTACATTGGCGGAATGTGATACCCTTTGTTTGTTTGTATATGAAAACTAGTGTCCATTCAGCACATTTTTCGTTCATAATAAACCATTTCTCTTTGTTTCTTTTGGGCCTACGCGTATTTAATGTCATTTGTTTTTCATTTCCTAAAACTTGTATTTACCTTCGATAAGCCAGTCCACCGAAAATTATCAATAACAAGCAGAGTAGAACTTGTCACAAATCTGCGTTGTCTCAAACTCATACTACAAGTTATTTTTCGAACTTAGGACTGCTGCACATTATATCGACAATTTCATAGCTTTAGGAGCCAGTAATAACAGAGGCCATCAAGCCTCCTGTCCTTTCCAAACTGAAACTCTTATCCTACAAATAATGCATTGTGCCGAAAAACAGGTGAGGTTGTTCAATCCTTGCCGAAAGTTCATCAGACAATAATCTGCCAGGGCTGGAAAAACCTCAATAGTAATTGCGGTAATCAATACACTCAACTAATTTGCTCGCTATTATCATATACTAATATCGTCCCAGAGAATTCCACGTCGTGTAATAATTGAGGACGCTAGAACTGGTTGGAAGATGCGAAGAGATGGTCAATGTGTGACATTATGTCGTGGTATGAGAGTTTGTGTCTGATGAAATCTCAGCACGAATTCGAAAAGTTCGTTTGGCTTTCGCCAATTTATGTCACCTATAGCGAAGGCAAGATATCCATCTATCAATTAAAGGACAAGTATACTGCGCGGCAGTTCGTTCTGTTTACTTTACGGCTGCGAAACGCGGCCACTGAGAGTAGATGTTCGTAAGCTACTAGTATCTGACCACAGATGCCTTAGAAATATTGCTCACATCTGCTGGGATCACCCGGTAAGTAACAGCGAGGTTAGACGAAGAGTATAAGGGAATGATGGTAATTCAGTTAATGAGGTCGTGAATCTTCATTGACAAAGATGGTTGGGCCACGTGTTGCGTATGCCTGAACACCGATTACCACGACACGCAATTCTGACTAGTGTAGAGGATGGTTGGAAAAAAGTTAGAGGCGGCCAAACCAAAACGTTTCGTCAGTGCTTGATGTCGTTGACTTCTGGTGTGAGCCATGTGGTAGATGCAGACTACTTGGTTGGGGTCCGTGTGCTTCTCGTAACCGGTGGTTGAAGACTATGGCTGACATGACTCAGAATCGATCACAACGGCGTCGGTGTGTACACTCTTTGTCTTCCTTTGAACTGTGGGATTAGAATTGTTTTATATTTTTCTTTCTTCCTGTACTATGTCCTTATATGCAATCTTTCTTTTATATATTGCCACCACTGAACTAACTACTATAAATTTGGTGTTCATCTTGTGCTAATGCGGTATGACAACTTGGACCGATCCACATATGTGCCTGGTCCTACGTTGTAGCTGATTGATGAAAGTTGTACAGGACTGGCTTCTGTTGGTCTTTCATGACTACCCGGCTGTGGTCCTAGAGACGGTGCAACACACTGACTAGAGACGTTATCAATCATGACTCAGAATAGAAACCAGTGACCATCCTTCTGTAGCGTTCTTTTACTTCGTAAAAGTAAATTTAACTTCTGTGATCGAATTCTTTCTGGTTGTATTTATACTAACCGAACTGCTTTTCCCATTATTATTTCACTCTCATACTTTAGTTTCTGTTGATTGTTGTTCTTCCTTTTATTATACACCTTTATCTGTTCACAACCTCATTGCTATTGTGTGGTGCATATGTATTTGGTGTTCCCCTTGTACCAATGTTTGTGTTCAAATAAAAAACAGCTTACGACATTGTTAGAAGTATATTTCTTTCGAAAGGATAGAAGCATTGCATTTGTTGTTAAAAGTTATATCCAAGTTGAAGTAATATAAGTTTCTATTTGATTCCGATACTTTAATAAACAAATTTTTGTTTACTTGCTAATCACCTAACAAACCAATACTGATGAGTACTTAAAAGACCATATTATCAGTTACGTGGGTTATATTATCACTTCCGTAAAAATACTAATGTTTCTACTTCGATTGAATTTTCGTGAAAGTCAACCCAATTTCATTACTTCTTGTTTTCTAGAATCTACTCATACACGGGTTCTCTACTTCTCAATTCTTTCAATGGTAATCCTCATCGGCTTCGCATGTTGGCAGGTACTATATTTAAGACGCTATTTCAAGTCGAAGAAGCTGATTGAATAATGTAAATTGATTTTTCATCTTTTAATATCTGCGAAAAAAACCCGTTTTATTGTACATGCCTTGCGTCTGGTTCATTTCTGAAATAATAAACTCGTGTGGGAAAACTGTACAAATCTAGTCTCACATTGTTCATCCTTTTTTATTCAAAGTTGCTTGTCGGAACTTTCGTTTCATATGTGTAAGATGTATTTCCCTTTAGATAATATAGCGGTATGTGGATTAATATGTATTATCTTTTTTCGGTCGTTTTCTAATAAATGCTTCTAAAGTCCGTTTTCGTGTTTTTTGCTCTGCGGAACTAGTGATTGATGAGAGGAGAATAGAACAATCATAACACTCAAAATCTAGCTAGAGAAGTGACTGAACATTTGTGAGTGCTTATTCTCAATAAATGACTTTAAAGACAGACCGTATCCATGTATGGACGAAAATGGAAACCTGAAAGAGCGAAAGCAGCATAAACCTATTGAAACCAGTTCGAATAAACTTTAGTCAGTGACCAAAGTGCACATTCCTTGTGAACGTAGTGGTACTACTACCACGTAACAATTGCTTAGTTGGTATTAATTATATTAGTCATAAAGCGCATATAATGCTGTAGTCGCGATGGGAATTTTCTACATTGTCTTTGCGCATTACATATATCTGATATGCCGATCTATATACCATCGAAATGCGATGAAAACCCGACATTTTTGGTTTCTAATATCATATCAACTAGAACCGATTACTTGATTTGTTAAACAATGAGTTGTTTAGGACCAACACCTCCCAACTCGATACCAAACGTCCGAGCAACAAGTGACAAACTACCGCATTCTCAAAATAACTCTCATCCTTAGAGTCAAGATACTCTACATTAAGACAAGAACGTCTCGTGCATTAACATTAAACACCCTATCAGTTTCAGCTTTTATAACCAGTAAGTACCACAATAGAGCCTAATACAAACATCAATTCGCTCAAAAGTCCATGCATTGGTCTGGGATGTCACCCGTTAATAAAAACCAAAATAGCATATTGAGTCAAGATCCAAATGGCTATGTGCGCTACATGCTCTTACAAACTTAGTTAACTAAGAATTGCATTTGGGCTGACGAAGGTTTAATAGGTGGAATAGTTATTTACTTAATTTCTTAAAAAATAGTAGTGTTGTGTACTTCATTCACTTACATTATCAATATCCGAGAATACCCTGAAGACGTATACGCCATAGGAAGTTCTAAATTGATAGTCTGTTGATACATACCTAGCTAAGCCCGTAACTTAATCATACTATAGGGTGTGTACACTCTTTGTCTCCTCTTAAACCGTGAGATTAAAATTGCTTTATACCTTCCTTTCCTGTATTATATACTTATACACTATTTTTCTTTTATACATTACTGCCATTGAAGTAAGTACGATGAATTTGGTGTTCACCTTGTTGTACTAATGAGGTGTGGCAATTTGTGCCTGCTTCTACGTTGTAGCTGACTGACTGACGTTCTATGGGGTCCAGAAACACTAAGATGCTGATGGGACCAACTTCATAACGGCTTCCCATAATGCCAGACGGAAAACTATCGCTATATCTTAAAGCGCAATTACAAAACCTTACATCTATCGAGAACCTCAACTCATTAAGTCTATGTACGTTAAGATTTTTTCTCAATACTGTGTAATTCAATGAAAAACAGATTTACCACAGCGAATACACAACTTACATAGCAAAAACCTAGTTCAGGTTCAGTTGATAAAATAAGTAAAATATAGATAATTGGTATCTCTGTACAAATTAATTTGAGAACGACATATCAGAAAAGAGATATAGAAAAAGTAACTATTCTACAGATTTCCTGATACTTCACAAATATCTACATTCAAATCAAAAAATGACAAAAGTGCATAGTCAACTTGACGTGGATCATTTCCTGAAACTGAGTGTGAACATGAAGCTTTCGCATGCCACTTAAGCAAACGTTCTAGACATTCAATTTCAGTGAGTAGTGATTTAATATTGGACGCTCCACAAATCATTGCGCAGATGTCGACTAGCCACTTCATACTTCGGCTAGGGTCAGAACAATGCAAACAAACAGGTTCCTCAGCTTCTGAGATCTGAGCAGCATTGAGACTGTTGGATTCTAATAAACCCGTAGGAATTCAAATAAAAAATAAAGATAATAATTTATTCAGATAACTCGTAAACAACAGTAAAATTATTCACGTAATTAACTAGGTCTTATAGCAATGCAATGTGCTGAAATCCTAAAAACAGTAGATTTTGCATACTCTAAACTGAGTGGCAGTGATTAGTTATGTCTTGGTACTTCTCGTTTTGGAGATACAACCAGATCCAGTGAACTTAACGTTAAATATCTTTACACATAGTCTACGCTTGAATTAGAATAATGGGCTACTTTGAAAGTCAAGTGGTAAAATGTGTGTTAGAATAGTCCACCGAAGTATCAAAGTTTATAATGAGAAAAACAACCCAGACAAACCCTTTCTAGTTATGTAGCTTAGTGCTTTTGAGGAACGAGATATTGGATGATTATCGATCCTAAGAGACAAACTAATTAATATATAGATTGAGATTCGACATTGGTTAAGGGCTTCTCGACCATGAATACAGCTAATCGACTGGACACGACTACACATATAAAGAAGTGGGAACATAATATGAATGAACTTGGTATTGTTTGGCTTGTATCTTCCCATTGAGGTTTAAGACTGCAATTGATCGGTCTGATATTGGCATATGTGCATACTGTGTGTATGCCTCGATATTGCCTTAATTCACAAGATTTTTGTAAGCAATGATGGATAGTGGCTAGCAGTGGAATCCAGGACGAGCGTTTCGTCCTATTTGGGACTCGTCAGCTGGATGTACCTGCATCTCAGAGTTGATGATCCCTTTGAGACTTGAACCCAGTACCATTCGCTTCAAACGCCATCGCAATGATGGATAGTGGCTAGCAGTGTTTACAAAAAACTTGTGAATTAAGGCAATATCGAGGTATACACACAGTATGCACATACGCCAATAACAGACTGATCAACTGCAGTCTTAAACCTCAATGGGAAGATTCAAGCCAAACAATACCAAGTGAATTTAAATTCACCCCATTGCACAAGCAAGTGGCTATCAGGACTCAGTAGCTGAGTGGATAACGCGATGGCGTTTGAAGCAAATGGTACTGGGTTCAAGTCTCAGAGGGAACATCAACTCTGAGATGCAGGTACATCCAGCTGACGAGTCCCAAATAGGACGAAATGCGCGTCCTGGATTCTACTGCTAGCCACTATCCATCATTGCTTACAATAATATGAATGCATGTAGAATAGCTCGATAGCGTGTAAATGAAGCAACTAATGTGCTTAAGAAAAAATGTAACCATTTGGGTTATGTGCTTTGGAAATGTGACTACTATATGCACATGTAGTGACGTTTATACATTGTTTCCCTAACAACTGATGCAACTAAATCGCTTCTGTAAAACTTAGTGCTCAGATAAGTCTCCACAGGAGAAACTAAGTATCCTTGGTGTTACACGTCTGGTAAAATGGACTTACTTAATTACGCCTGTTACTCCTCGTAGAGGAGCATAGGCCGTAAGGATCGGTCGTGCACAAACCGCATTGTGATACTACGGATCATTGTCGAATAATCAGTTGAATGGAACTTGTCACTATACATCAACTTCTTTGATTATGAAAAGGCATTTGACAATGCAGATAGGACATTATGGAAACTTCTTCGACACAAATGCACGACAGACACATTAACACACCACATCAACAAAAAGAGACTAAACAAATAAGAGGAATGGTAAAAGGTCTGAAATGATATCTGCATGAGAGTAGGAAAGACTAAACGTTAAATAATGCAGTGAGAAAAGAAAGGGCAAAGTTCAGCGATAAAAATACGAAATAGTTATGAAACTCAAGACTTAGACGGTGATAAAGCGTAAATGCATCTACTCCACTAAGGCTAATGTCACTCGATGTCTCCAATTACAGATGCATCTACTCCACTAAGGCTAATGTCACTCGATGTCTCCAATTACAGATAGCTCGAACACAAAATAGTTAGGCCTGTGTCTACCAACACTAAATAACCACATGAACTAATGTTAATCCTAATAATGATGAGAGTTACTTTTCAGCCGCATAATAACAACCCAATGACTCTTAGACTTGTAGAATAAAGTGTAATGAAGGGAATATAAGAGGATACAACTTATTTCTGGATGATTTTTATATATAGAGTTGTTGTTACTCAACGATGAAATTACTTGCCAGTAAAAAAAAACGATTCTGATGAGATAAAATAATATTACCTATAGTTGGCATAGGTACATATATATGAGATATGCATGCTAAGAATTATTATTCCTTTCGAACCTGTACAATGAATAACACTTTTGAAATGTTCTAATACAAATGATAAGAAAGCCAAAACGAAAAAGAAAGTTGTCAAATTGACAATAAAATGATGGAAACTGTCAATCAATATACATTACCTTCAGTTAAAGAATTATCATTGTCGTTCTGTTTGGCATGAACTAATTCATCACGACCAAGCGCTCTGGATAAACTTTCATCATGTTTAGCAATGAATTCTTCTACTGGTTTTGGTAAAATAAGTGGCTGTTTGCTACGATTACGATTTTTCCACTGAGATTTGCTGGAAGAATTTGAAGACCATTCTCCAATACAAATCGAGTAGTAATCAGATCGTTGATTTATCAAATCTGACCACCACTCTCTTATAGTGCAATCATTAAATCCATATGAATCGGTCACTGTTTGATGGTCATTAAACGAATTCGGAATATAATCATTGACATTAATATCTTCGTTATACAAAAAGTTTAACTGTGTATTGAGAAATGGGCTTAGTAAACCATCTTGTTCGCAATCTGAAGGTAGCAAACATTTGTAAATTGTGGTTTTTTTACTGTTAGTAAAGGAATCAGATGTAAAATTACCGACAACCATTTGATGACGATGCGTACATTGATTTTGAGTAGTTAAAGTTGAATCAGTCAAATCAACCACTTGACATGGTTCGAATAGATTACGCAATGGCTGAGATAGTGACCATTTTACTGAAGCCTAAGTGAAGAAAACGACGATTAATAATATGAAATGAGTTTATGCACAAGAAAAGCACGTAATAATTAGGTATCTATTCTATTGTAATAATGTTGAAATGTAATCGAATTTAAATATTTTATGCTCATAATGAGAAGTAAACTATTCGGTAAATATCATTACACGTAATACTAATAATAAATAAATATTAATGGGGTTGTAAATATTTTTGAAATAACTTCCATATATATTCATTACCATTTCTAGTCAAAGTGATGTAATTTAATATCTTTACATCCAAGACTTTGCCATGTTTCTATACGATAAAAATAAATTCCATTTTAGTCAAATCACAGGATCTTCCAATGAGTCACACATACTTTATTTTTCCTCTTAAGAATATGTTTGTGCAATATGGAAAAGGAGAACTTCGTTCAAGAATGAAGTATAATATTTTATTCAAGATAGCGATATATATATTCGGCGTCATAAGATAAGAGGTAGTAAAAACACGAGTCGAAAAAATTGCTCCTTAAGAAATAGACATAAATTCAAAACTATCAAAGATTTGATTCAATTTTGCTAGTTTAACCCGTCAATCGGTAATTTATTGCAGACAAACAGTTCGAACTAGAGAGATACTGACAGACTGAAGATCAACAATAACCAATCAAGATCGAGGTCGACAGGACAAGATGAAATTATATGTGGAGAAACGTGCATAATTTATTTCTAACCGAAATTTGTGCTGATGTTGTTCGGAAGAACAGTGAGAGCTCCACGACTAACCTATCCGGTTCAGAGGACGAAACTATGCCAAAATCAGCCACTTGAGCTACATATATTCTTCACCATTTCAACAACATTATATTCCTCTAATTGCAACCCCTCGTTTGGGGCATAAATTTTTGTTGTATGTTTTACCTTTCTTGAGTAACTGAGAACCAATTACTTAGTTCTCTTTCATTTATAGCGTAGTTATGCCTACATTGTAATATTTTAACTGTGTTGATGTTTGGTCAAAAAATTACTCCATATCATTGTATAGATTGAGTTATATAACGAACCACTGCACAACACATATTTTACTTGCTCACCGTGTTCGCTTATGTGATTGAATATTGGGAGTAGAATGTTCCATTTAAACAAATAGGTGTTCACATTATTTTGGTCACAGCTCAAGGTTAATCGTTATCGGAAAATGTAAAGGACGTTAGTTTATAGAGAAATATAACCACCAAATCTAACGCAATAAAAAAACACCACCTACAAATAAGTTTACAGAAATGCCAGATATTTGAATTAACTTAAAATAAAGTACTCTCTTACCTTATTTATGCGATACACAAACATAAAGATTTAATCACAATATAGTAGAACTCACATCAGCTATTTTAATTTTCTTCATACTCTTCTCATTCCAACCAATATCACGACCAATTTTGAATTCAGTTGAACCTAAGAAATCAGAAGCTTTATCTAAGTTGAGTAGTTCAGATCCTTGATTAGCAGTCATGACTAATGGTTGGTTAAATTCATGAACTCGAGCATTACTAAATGGATTTTGATCACTTTTCAATAAATGTAAATTAAGTTTGTGAGATGGATGAAATCGTGAGTCGATATATTGCACCCATGAAATCCAGACAAAAGGTCGGTCGTATAATGAGATGTCCGACGTTTGACCACTTTTAACTGGACGATTGGGAAATAACTCCAGAGCTTTAGCGACAGAACTAAGTCGATGCTAAGTAATTAGTAAAACAAAAAAGCAATGAATTTGTAATGATGATACTTCAAAATCCATTCAAGTAAATGTTTACAGTCGTTAAATATCTCATGGCACAAAAAGAGAACGAAAATTGTGTGAGAAAAGTGAAGATTTCACAGGAAACTACAGATAACTTTATTTTATAAATTAATTCACAAGTTCTAAACAACACTTTTGGAAAATTGTAATAACATGTTCGAAATGTTTAGAACAGAAAGTAGAAGAAAATTGGATAATTTACGGTTGATTACGAATCATGACAACCGTCACTTTTTATAAATGTAGAGTTGTTGACGGCTTTTGGAACGTTGTATTGTTAGTCTAGTCATTAAAAGGCGGATATACAGTTTGTTAACAAGAGCAATCCTGCTTCATGTTTATGAAACCAGGATACCCTCAGTTGGTGATATTCTACAACTATGTATTTGATCATAATCATTTTTAACGAATCGCTAGCATCCAACGACAACGCTTAGTGATATTGATGTCCGGCAATGTGCATTTGACCATAGTGTCAATAAATCTCACCAACTTGAAGTGCTGGTTTTGGTGGCTTGAACAAATTTTACATATATCATCTCAGGAAATCGCAAACCATTCATTATTTCCCGAAGCTGAGACTAACTAGAAAAAAAATGGAGACGTAGTCAGTTTATGAAATGACGCTGTGGTAAGAGGGATATTTGTATAGGACTATCATATGTCACTTCATCATAACTCCTCAGTTGATATCCTAAAGATCGTGCAACTCAATGCTTTAAGGAAGTGTTAGATAAAACTAATAAGAGAGATAGTTGACGATACGGAAACCTCTGAATTGTTAATCGTTCTCAGTTTTATTTTCTACTGAACTATACACTTTGCCAAATACTTTTTATTTTTATTCATTTTTTTATAGTACGGTCTTTATTATAATTCTTCACAGTATATAACACTTCAGTGCATTTTGGCCTTAGAATAAGCTACATTTTGCGTTCCAAACCAGCAGTGAGACTAAACAAGGTTTATTTAACCTAGTCATTGATGCGACTGTCAAAACAGCTCGGAAAGAAGTAATTATTCATGATAGAAACATTCTACTTCGAGAAAGACTTTTTGACCTTGATTATGCTGATAACATCGTCTTACTACGCGATGATATACAAGCAACCTATTCAAACAGTTGCCAGTTAGTGTACGTATGTATGGCATGTAATGTACACCATTGAAACACAAATTACTTCTATACTCTGGCATGAGTCTAACCGAACACTCATTCTTTGTGATAACCAGTGGAAAATTGTCGAGTAACTTGGCAGCTTTGTTGATATTATCGTCTGACTATGACAAAGTGGAAGACAATGAACGAAATCGTAACATGAAATGAATATTACCGATTTAAGATCAATTTACCAATGATATTGAAGGTTAACTTACTTCAAAGGTATCATCGAATTTGAATACAAGACGTAACAATATAACAACTAATGCCATTGCAAACACTTCTGGTCGAAAGACCCTGGGCCAGGGGATTGAACTTAACAAAGAGCGGTATATATATTTGTCAGCAGAAATACATTCCTGCTGTAGTCTCTCTAACAAAGGTCGTACAAATTCATGCATTGCCACCGGAAGACCTAGAGCGGTTATATAACGATGCACCAACCAGCTCAGTGGATATCTATACGTAAATAATAGAAAAGACAAACTACGACATCGTGAATTGATACGGTATAAAGACGTCAATTTTGGTCCAGTTTAAGATTAACTGAGTGAGTGAACAGCTGAATCAATTTATTTTAATATTATTACTTTCTCCGGACAATAACATACAGTTTGTTTCATCAGAGTGAAGACCTCGAGAGTATTTAGAAGTAAACATTTACCAAGAACCAGTTTTGTAACAAAAATTACTGAGGTGAAAACTTATTGCTTAGCTAGCATGTTTTTTAATTGTCTGCTCATGTACATTTAATATGTCATTACTACTCCATGAATGACTGAACTCAGCAGGAGTTACTTACCAACTAGGAATTCATAGTTTGAATAATCATATTAACGTTTTGCATTATAGATGTGTACAGTAAGTCACAAATGAAATAGATGACATTTTGAAACAGAACTAGCAACTACCAAGTTCAGTTGATAATAAACTTAATTTTGCGGTTTAATGTAGGTCAATAGGAATCTATGTACTTTTTCGGACACAACAATACTTGTAACAAAGAAATGATCCATATAAATAAATAAACTACGAAACTGACATAAATGCTTCTCGATGTTCAGAAATTCAAGCGAGTTACCCTTACCCATCCAGAATAGCATAAGGATAGTTATCTACAAATGTCGATTTTCCCAGACGACAATCAAAAGTCAAACATAAAAGCAAACTAATGGTTATTTCGTACAATTTCGTATTTAGTATTTCTTTATCGAATCTCCTAAAGCTTCTTTGATTGTTTATAAAAACGCTTCTTAGCTACTGTTTTGTTGATGCTTGAATACGTTAATTTTTCGTTCTGTTAATAAGAAAGTTGCAAAACAAATTTACGTGGATTAACTTTGGGGAGAGCAAGAATAAAGATTGGTGCAGAATAATATGAATTCATTTTATTTCGTTAAATTCTCATCAGCTGCTTACAACCTAAAATATTTGAAAATCAGAGTTATTAAAGATATTGACATACTTATACATAAGAGGGTGATTAAGGATGAATATATGTATCATGACGTAGCGAAGATTCCGATAGAGTCAATGAGGTCATACAATTTTGTTTCGAATAAACAAAGTTTGAGAGGGAAAGTTCCAGAACATTGAAATAGTGATTAGAACTCAAGGAATTAAAAAAAGCAGCTGATGAGAACCTAACAAAATAAAATGAATTCATATAGTTCTGCACCAATCTTTGTTCTTGCTTTCTTTAAGATAATAAAGGGAACTATGTGTATGAGATTACCTTTGGATTTGATTAATCTTATTTGGTGGATCTAACAAATCATTTAAATAATATTTAGATATTTTTTGAACTAGTCAGAACTGTATGAGAAAATTGGATGTTGTTTTTTATTGTGTCTTTACTTGGTTGGGGTCCGCATGACTATCGTAACCAATGGTTGGAGACTCTTGGTGAAATGGATCAGAATCGATCACAATGGCGTAGGTGTGCACACTCTCGGTCTACCCTTAAATTATGAGATTAAAATTGCTTCATATCTTTTTTTCTACGAACTAATTCTTTCTTTGTGTACTATGTCTTTATATGCAATCTTTCTTTTATATATTACCACCACTGAATCAACCACTTCTATGAATCCGGTGTTCATCTTCCTGTGTTAATGCGTATGGCAACTTGAACCGATTCATATATGTGCCTGGTCCTACGTTGTAGCTGACTGATTGACTGACTACTGTGTCACGGTAGCTAGTATTTAGAATATTCAGGCGATTTATCCAGGCATCACCAAAATATAACGACTAAAAAACTGAGTTTTGAAGTGCTATATAGATCTATTACCGTGAAGACAAGACAACAATAATAGTCATTCCAAATTCATTATTATTGATAGCAGATCAGATGTCATCTATAATAGCACCGAAAAGTGCGTTTGAAGTAAAATTGAAGATAAATGGACAATGCACAGGGTTGTCGAAAGTAAAAGACTTCTAAACAAGTATCATCGAAACACTCAAAAGCGATTTTTAGAAAGTCACTCTCCTTAAAGGTATTAAATACTACATTAAAAACAATAATACTTTGAGGTCCAACTTATATCAAGCTATAAAAATAACTTATTTAATCCAAAAGTTGTGTAGAAAGAAAGTTCAACATCAGCCATAAGTTATCTACACCTGAATGGTAAAAGATACTTCCGGAATATGAGGCAGATATAAAAGTCATTGTAACTATGAAGTCCATAGTAAAACTATAAAATACTATTGAGACAAAATAAATATTTTTACTTTGGGAAATGATTCAGCCCAATAAATTCACGCATCCGAACAGTTGCATACGCTAAATGGTTGATTTCTGGAGGTCTATGACGTCGGATTAAACTTAGTAGACTCTGATCACGAATGCAAAAGGCCCCTGGAGGAAATAAACTTTGAACCTAAAAATATATAAAATGGTTGGTCAAGTGTCAGTTTTCAAAATAACAAAGCTCATCGAGATGATGTAAACCATGCTTATCTTAGAAGTCATTAAAGCTACTTATATACTTACATAAGAAGCTTACTAGACATCTATAAATTAGATACAGTATTAAGAAAATGTATGTGAGTCATTAGATTAGGGTGTATTGGAGTGCCGATGTTTGATTTACTAAATCTGAACCCAAATGTTGGCTTCATTTCAATCATCGTATTTTGCTACTTGTTTAACAAAACCACTAGGCTATTAATTAATCTTAACCTAACTTATGATAGCCATTCAAACAAAAAATGCGATAACATTTATACACGCTTAACATACCTGAACATAAATGGAAATGATCAAATAACCAGTTTCATCTGCTTTCGTATATTTTATACTTAAATAAGATTAGTTCAGCGAAGAGTTCTCTTTTAGGCGAATTCATTTTCAAAGCTGTACAATCGCAAATATATATATACTTATTTTACAGGATGATAATAATTATAATAATACTGATAATAAACTTCTGTTAGACATAGTGACAGTTTATTATCAGTATTATTATAATTATTATCATCCTGTAAAATAAGTATATATATTTGCGATTGTACAGCTTTGAAAATGAATTCGCCTAAAAGAGAACTCTTCGCTGAACTAATCTTCCTTATTTTATATTTGATGATGTTAGACTATGAAATTTAAACATAGGAATTAGGTAACTAGTAATAAACATGTTTCCCTATGTCGTAAAATCTACAAAAAGGAATAGAACAAAGGCACTGAAATAAAATAGTAATCTTATTGGTAGTTTGAAGTGATTTCTATTTGTTCTGAAAATTATATGGTTACTGGAGTAGGAACGAAAGTAAACGCCGAACAAATCACACAAAAATAGAATTTCGTAAGTGTAGGTGAATAAATAATTCTAGTTAGATACTGTCAGAGATACTAGTATCTGTTTTACTCATGTGATTTTGGCTGTAAACACATTACTGACAAAGCATGGTCTGGATTAAAGCTCTAATTAAAATACTAACCAGTTTAATCGCTTGTAGAAAAAAACACGCTAGACTAATTTACAATGAATCGTCATTCAGTAAATACACTTTTACTAAACGCTATGAGCATAACGTACGAAATGAGTGTGTTGTGAGTAATATTTTTAAACGTAAAAGTTGGATAATAGTGACGTATTTGCTGATAGTTCATTGAAGAGAACATACTGACTTTGCGGAACTTTAAAGTTATAACCGTTTGAAGCTGATAATACAATTTAAACAATGGAAGAACAACAACATTTACATAATTAAGCGAATCCATACTACTTCGTGACCTCTGACTTTAAAGTGTTTAATATAACAAGGAATAATAAAATTATGAACAAAGATTGGACATACTTTAGTCAGTGAAGTTGAGATAAATGTTCAAAATGATACCGAAAATCAGAAGAGAAACAATAGGACGTATTGTTTAAACTTATTAAGGTAACTGGTTGTACGATATATAATTGGTTGTGTTGTTCTGTTCTGAAACTTAACCAACAAATTTCCTTTAAATGATCAACTCTGACAATCATTTTTACTCAGTAATATCTGTTTACCCAATATTATAACATTGATATACAGTAGTGAAACTATTTCTACTTGGCTACCTTAACCGTGATAAATGAAATGATGTTGAATGTTAAAATCAAATATTTAAAAGGTGAGATTCTATATCTGCTGAGTACCGAATAAACAAGGAGTATTGTATTACCAAATTTATATAAAGAAATACAACACCACGGTTACAACGCATTGATTAATGTCAGGAATCATGAAGCAGAACGTTTGCGACTACTTGGTCAATGCATAATTTGTCATAAATTTTTACTTAAATCCCTTTGCCGTCTTATGAAAATGGAAACAATGAATTTCATAGATCATTAATAAGAAAATACTAATGTTATTCTTTAAGAGACTTGTCTAAACAAGAAGTCTCATACTAGGACGAAACGGCCGTCCAGTGCTTCCAGGTTGTCAACGGTGGTCTGACATTCATGATATCAATCTAAACTCAACAATCTCCACAACCCTACACTGAAAAATATTTTGTAAATTCATTAATTTAATAACGCATTTTGTCAATTCACACAATTCAGATGAAGATTATGAAAATACATTGAAACTTACAGATATGAAAGGTAAACGATGATTAATGCATAGGTCTTGTAAATCTTTTAAAGTAATCATTGTAGTAAGTGCATATGGATTATTTGGGAAATCTGGATTTATAAAATGTGAAGAAAATAATGGATTGACTGCATTTCGTACAGGACAAGTAGTCAAACAAGCGATAAACAAAATAGCCACATTATACTCCATTAACACACGACAGTTAAAACCACCTTCAATTTGACCACGCCAAAGTAAATGACCCATCGGTCGTGACTGAGATCTGATTAAATAAGGAAATAAATTATGAACAAGTAGGTTTAAACGTTGTTTATTAATCTACAATACAACTGTTCGAAAAATTCAATCAAGTAACTGCATACATAACAGTATCTATAACTACACTGGAATATATCAAAATAAGCCATAGATGACTTCAACAAGTGACTTAGTTGGCAGTGATGAATCTATAGCACAGCCATATTCTCGAAATTAACGATGATATAATGATAGTGTTACACAATGAACACAGTCTCATATAAAAAAGAACCATATATTATAAATTAAAAGTTCCTCTCAGCTGATTAGCAAAATATCGACAACTAGCCAAAAAAATGGGGGGATAGCTTATCTGAATACTTAACAGTGTGTGGTCTCGTATAGTACAATACTGTTCAGGCAAGAATTCACTGACATACAAAGGGGAGAAAATGTATACGACACAATATAAATAGCCATTGATATTTAGATTGTCCGATGTACGTTTGAACGCCCTGAACAATCACAGATCACTTTGGTTGGACATATCAGTTATACTGACTTATACGACCAATCCACTAAACAGTTCATTCAAGACTAATAGGATAGCAATCACCTCCTGAAATAAAACATCTTGTCAATCAACGAAAATTGACTTCACCCACAGTACACCATCATTAATGCCCATTACCAAGTGATGTGAGAACAGTTGTTTTAAGTATAATAAAAAATTAACGGCTTTCAGGAGAAACTTAGGATCCAGAGGTAACTCATACAATTATAGAATGAATAATCATATCTTCCGAGTTGGCCGAGTTCAAAAGTTAATTATGATAAGGTATAAATAGTTAATATATCAACGTAATTTTAAATAAACTCAGTACTACAAGGTGTGATTCCTAATAAAATTTATTGATATACACAGCTGAGAAATGCCAAAATATACAAAACACCTTAGTTCGCAAGGCAGAGACTCGATTGACGCTTGCGCGAATTACAATCAGGTCGGAGCACGATGATTAGTCTATTTCAACCAATTATTCCCAGCGGCTGGATTGAGAAGACTAGATTTCTGTGTAAATTTTCCACAAGCCCTAATGTTTTAACAGTATTAACTTTTGCTATTCGGAATTTTAGAATATATTTTCGTATGCTCTTGATTCATGTTGTGATTTAGGACCAGTCAAGTGAAGTATCGTGTCCAAGGAGTAAATAATAAAGCAAACTTAAATTTACTTTCTCATTTAAAACGGTTTACAACTAACATCTAATTTTCAGCGGAAACTCACATTTGAACTTTTAAATTATGACTAAAATAAAACTTACAGTATTTTGGCGAAATGCTGTGGTGGTATTTCCTGTGTCCAATCATTATTAGGGAATAATTCTGATTCCACAGCTTTAGGTTGATAGGACAGGTCTGAATCATGAACATCTGGGTTTCTCAAATCCCTTTCACCATTATAAGCAGATGAATGGACGGATTGAGCATCATCATCAGGATTTTTATCAGAAAAAACGGATTCTGATGAATCAGACTCACTACAGTCTTTCCGTTTACGTCCACGTCGTTTAGATTTTTTACTTTTGTCGACTTTTTTTGATGCCTTTCTGAAGTAAAGATGAAGTAAACCACGAAAAGTTTGTAGTTTTATTAAAGAATAACTTTGTAACGAAAGTTGTTCACTATGGTACCACACTATCGAGAAATTACTACTATTTAAAAATATATCTTTTGTTTTGATCTTATTTTAAATATCCCAAAAATTACTCAAAAATGCACTTGCTTTGTGAATATTGAAATATAGATGATGCAAGAGATAATCGAATACGTTTTTAGATCAACCCAACTATTTAAATGAAAATAAACAAAGTTCATTGAGTCCACAGTGTTTGCTAGATCTTACTGATCGAAGGAATCAGAATATTGGCAATGATGAGATTGGACTTAAATTCCAGTTAACCGATCAGTGAATTGTGAGTGTTGCTACGACTTGATTACAAATAATAATGATTAATCCTCAAACGGCTATACCTTTGTTTCTGTAGTCACAGTCCTAGGTTGTCAAGATATCTACCAACTTTGTATCGTTTACAAGTAATTCATAAAGAAATATCCTTCCATAGTGTGAGGGAACTGGAAATAAAAAATCTCCAAACAGTACTGACAGTACTCGAGTCCATCTTATTCATAAGTAATCTGCTTCTTTATTCACTAATATTCCTTCTATTTTAACTATCGTACCTTCTTGGCTTTGACTAAGAAGCCCATAAACCGTGTAAAGGTTGTCTTCTCGAATACTAACGCCCAAATCACAGCTTATGACGGACTTTCATCAAAAATGTCAACCTCAAGTGGCGTTTGTCAGTGTTTCCCATTTTACTTAGTTTTAGCGAATTTCATCAGAGATGTCCTGATAAAAATTACAACTTCATCCAACGTTTCAAGAACTGATTTACGCCCTGGAAACTCACTCTTTGATCTGGTGTACGCAAATAATATAGTCCTGTTTGGAATCCATTTCTCTCCCTGCAACTGCAAAATCTTGTCTCAGGACTAGTTCGTGTCAACGCCTCGATTAGTCATCGGAAGTAAGGTAGTGGCGTGAATTGACCACTTCACTTACCTTGAAAGTTTCATCAGCCCTATTGTATTAGTAGCTGATCAAACCCTAAATATGAATTCAAAAAGTTAAGGTAGCTTGTGTTAATTTGGACCACTTGTGGTGTATGATGTGTCATTTTCCAATCAAAGGGCGAGTATACTACTGTTTATTTAAGCAAACATATATATTAGTACAAATGAGACCAAAATAAATATCCACCACACGATAAGAAACTGAGATTGCGAATAGACAGAGAAAGGAGGGTGAGTATGATCAAAAACAATATACAAATAAGAATAAGTGAACGAGGGCAGTGAATAATACGAGCAGTTCCGTTAAGGAAATTCCAATCAGAAAGAATATTTTCAATTACAGAAGTTTCGCTCGGTTTTAAAAGAGAGCAAAAAAACTACAACATGATCACTATCGGCTTCTATTCTGAATCATGTCTGATAACGTCTCAAGCCACTGAGTTGCGATATTTGTTGAACCCTAACGAGAGAGTCTCGAGAAGCACAGACATATGTCAGTCCTGTACAGCTTTCTTTCATATCCCGGAACCAAGTCATAAACTGACCACCTCTCTGATTTTTCCAACCACCGTATTTCACCATGACTGTAAAACATGTCTATGAACATAAAAGACATGCTTAGGTCACAGGTTTTTGGTCATAGGTGCATTTTTAACACCGTTCGCATATTTTAGAGCAACCGTGTAAGCGATTCTGAGGTCAGATGTACAGTAAGCATGAGTAATATTACTAAGCAATTAACCGTTGAAAGTAAATATTTTTAAAATAGCTGGGTAAAATGAAACTTAACTATTTTTAGCTTTAGTGACATAACACTGAACTGGGTTTAAATTCAAAACTCACTTTTTTCGAGACAAATGTAGAATATTAGTTATTTCCCGACCTTCCTCTGGTTCATACAATAGACCCCAACCAACCCACTGAAATTGACTTAGACGAGTTTTTATGAGCTCCCATTCGTGTTCACGCTGGGTAATCATATAACAGTGATCCGATGTTTTATGTTTCCGTAATATTTTATTAGCAGGCTTCTCTTCTTCTGGATTCACCTTGCTTTCAAGTACTTCACGAAGCGACTTTGCCAATAAAAGAGCTGCATTTACCCAAGCATCAGAGCCAAGTTCGCCAGTTATAGACAAATAGTGGAGCCATATGTTCCAAACAGTATCACAAAATGATACTTTTTGTTTCCCAGAAAGATTTAATTCTTTAGCCAAACAATTTGTTTGACGTCTCATTATGAACTGTAAAGTGGTAACAATAACTTTATGTATACAACAACCTACGATGCAGAAATGAGACTCTTAACAATGACTCAGATAACAATAACTAACTAAAGTTTAGTTCACTTGTTTGCAAAGTCTAGCGTACCAAACGGAAATATAATTATTTTATAATGAAGAAATGTACAGCTTGATCATGAAACTGAAACTCAACGGAGTCTAAAACCTGGATCATATTGGTTAAAAATCAAGTACTTTAGCTAATTTGTAACTCTAAAGCTAATGAACGAAGGTACTTCAGTTAAATAACCACAGAGAATCATTAGATACGTTTTGAAATTAGATGCTTTTACATTCCCTATATTTTTAAATGTTATTAAATATGAATAGACAGGGTTAACCTAAATCAGTATAAAAAGATGTCAAAATGGGAATTTAAATTCATTGTAGACAATTAATGGGCTACTTATGTACCACTTTCGAAAGGACAAGATGTACATATACATATTATTTCTGTTTATTTTCACTGACTACCATGATTAATATAATATATTTCATTATTAGTAGCGAAAATGAAGTGAATGAGTTAATTCTTGCTTTTGAATTTCATTCAAGAGATATCTTTAGAAACAACTTTCTTGAAAAAGAAACATTATTATGAAATTGGCGAAATGATATTATCTTAATAACTTAACTAAATAATGTGTGACTTCATTACTTAGTAAGCAAAAATATTACATTAAATTAGATATAATGACTGAGATTAATAAGGTTAGCAGGATTAGACTGTATAATCCTTTGTTTTGTTTAAGTAAATAATCTGTTTAAAAATGGTTAGTTATTATTCGACACTTTCTTAATAGTAATTAGCCCTTTAAAAAAAGTAAGATTGATGAACATTTTTGTGAACAATTTCATTCCTGCCTTTATTGAATTTAAAGCTTATTTATAAGATATAATATGAATACAGAACTGAACAACACACAATTTAATTTTTCACAAGTTTTAACATTTTTAGAGTAGAATCATAACATTCTACACTTACACAATCTTAGCTAACAATTAATGACTTCATAGCATTTTGTTTTTAATTACAGTACATTGAGTATTATATTCAAGATCGAATATTCTTTCAAATGAATCAAAAATTTAGTTATGAATATATATTAGTGTTTCAAAGATTATATAACATATCTTTACACCTACTATCAATGTTCAGACCGTCGGGAGATTTAGGAGAAAAAATAAAGCATCTCCAATTGTACACTACCCTGACACATCTCATTGTGATCCAAAACTCCAGATCCATGAAAAATGACCACAGTTAACTTTACGGTCAATATTAATCTTGTGACAATGAAACGCTGTTACTTCAACAAACAATAAAATGTACAACACGTTTGCTTGGGCTAAAGATAGATAAATATAAGCATAAACTTACAGTGAAAGGTTCAGATAACCGCCAAGGACGATGGCTTTCAAAGCACTTTTCTTTCTGCATAGCATTATTGAGGTTCACCTCATTCACGCTGAAAAGATCATCATCTAATGTGTTTAAGAGGTCTTCACGACAAACAGAATTCATATTTTGGTCATGTGTGATATCCGATTCAACTTTCACAAATCTTGATGTGTCCGTCATGTTATCTGTAGCTGCTTGGTTGGATTGACTACCTATAAGTTCAGTCTTTTGAATCACTCGTAATCCGCGGGTTTCAGAGAAATCCTGGGACTAAAAATATGGATTCAAAAGTACAGTAAAGCTTAATAAATATAACTAAATGATGAATTTAAAAGTCAGTATGAACTATTTAACGCGCAGAAAACTCTTTACTACTAAAGTACTTGACCAGTCATTGGTATTTTCCCTAGTGAGTTGCTTCTAAAAACTTGTTGATTTAAAATCTAAACCACCAGTCTATTTAGCAAACATTGAGTACGTCTGCATATGCTTATTATCTGAATTTCATCAGATAGAAATATGTCACTCCGCTTAATTATTTCATGACAACACAAATATCTTAACTTGACGAACAGACTAAAAATGAATGAACTTTTATCAATAACTCATCAATATTAAGCATACAAAAGATTAGATAAAGAACCAATGGACTACAATTCGGGAGAATGATCAATTCGACCCTTGAACGAACAGCTCGTGGTAAAAGAACGTTCATTGGTATGAAACATCTAGGGAATATCGAAACGGCATTTTTAAAAATATACCGATCTTTGAACAGTAAACAACACCAACTTTATTCTTAGGTATTAACGGAAGTCTAATGATTAGAAATTCACTATGGTCACTGTGTTACGTTGACTTACAGTCATTACGCATTACATCTGGCAGAGTGATTAGAAGAAATTGATAAGACCTAGCGTTTTACCACGATAGGTTACGAAGGTGAGTATGTAACCCAGATGAAACTTGTGTAGGGACACAAAGGCTAGGGACAATCAAAATGAGAAGTGATATCAATCTATAAAATCAACGACTGCTGATCTACGTTGTGTAGGCAGGGAAACAGACTTCCTAGTTGAAAGTCATAATCAACTGGACCGAAGTAGACGCGTTTAAACTTTACCTTCTAGTTAATGAACTATAAAATTATTGCACGTTTATTATTCCCCAATCTAATGAGTCCATGTTAAACTATATTCTCTAAGCTTAGTTGTTCTTCTCTTATTGATGCAACTGTTATTCCGACTCACTCTGTCTTTATTTCGTTAATTTTTAATAACTATGCTGATGTGAAATGTGACAACATGCATCTATTCATGTTTCTTCCAAGTTTTACGTTGTTTACAAACCACTGACTGTGGAAAAGATATCAGTAACTCTCCCAATCCTGATACGGAACAATGTTAATACTAGTTAGTAAAGTACAGTAATTCGCATACTTGACGAAATCTAATAAGCTTGTAAGAACTTTCAGTACACCTTCACTAACTAAATAAAGCATGTAAAGATATAAAACATTCTGTAATCTCAAAATAGGCTAATATAAACGATTAAATGGTCTGGGAACAAACAGATTTCTCTAGAAAATAACATACTTGGGTAACTCCTCTATAAACACCTGTTGCAGTTCCACATTCTGAACAAATCAACTGCCCAGTGTTTTCATCTTCTATAAGTTGGCGATTTTCACAAATCGGACAACTCATTATAGCTAAGGAAATGATAAAAAGTAACATGATTTTAAGCTTCGTAATTTACTTAGTATTATGCAATCTAATGTAATAAAAACCACTAATGCAATCAAATACATATTTTGGAGTCACGTTTCGTCATGAGGTGTCAAACAAAAGTTCTAATTGGCATAACACTACCCATTCATAAACAATGTGCTCATAAGGTTAACTTAGTTTTACCTTCACAAATCACTTACCATGTGCAGCAAGTAATCATTATCATGTTCTTAGGGTTTAGAAATTCGGTAATACCTATCCAATTTGAAGTATCTAGTATCCTATATTTATTGGTCTTATACTGGTTACTAGACTATTAATACCACAAACCCAAAAGTAATTAATTATTACACTCTTCGTATCACCATATTATCGGCTGGTTGCACCTGGCTTCTCGAACTCATTGCAAGTAAATCACATACTATCCATTTGAGTTTAATGGTAGCATCAAGACACTCTATTTGATTGACTATTTGGTTATTTAATTTCTTACGGCTACGATTGATCACAATCATCGTCACAGGTTAACCACAGAATTCAGTAGTTGAATTATGTAACGTTAAGAAAGCGAGCAGATCTGCCAATTGTTCACTCTCGTCTTGTGGTTCAAAATGAAGTAACCTGCACGGTGCACGTAGTCAGCAACTGCAAGTCTCCGAATAAGATGATAAAGCAATTTGTATTTGGGACGTTATTTCTTATTAGAATGATTTGGGCCCCCAGATATTTGTTTTGACAAATACCAATCACCCGACATATGCTGACAAGTTCCAACGTTCTGAAAAATACAGTACAAGTTACTACAAACGACCTTGTCATAAAAAGCAGAACAGTCAGGAACTGACATATTTAGGAAAGAAAAATCAATGATTTATTGGAGAAATTCTAAATCCCAGTTCAATTAGCTAAGTGAGAAGTTATGAGGTATGGTACAATTTTTTCTATGTTTCTTCCCAACAACTTGTAATAACCTACTCCCAAATGCTTATGTTTTGATATCGAAATGAAACCCATTGTTTTTCAAACAGGTTTGTATGATAACTACAATGCGGCATTAAATATAACTGATTGATAAGGATTAATTTGTGAAAGATTATTAGTTGTGTAATTACAGAACAAACCACAATCTATGAAATCATCTGTAACAAATGTCACAATTTCCTTTACAATGATTGGCAAAAGAATGTTTAGGAAGAACCCCAAATATAACTGAACAGTTGAATGCCATTTGAAACAATATAATTTATCAGAATGCCACAAAAATGTTTCGAGCACAGTAAAACATGAGAATAAAGGCGGACTCTGGGAGAATACAGGAAATTAATTGTCAATTAAGGGGTGAAACTCTATTTTATGGACGACCTTTGAACGTACGTTTAAGTGACCTTGAGAACATTAGCCAATCAGAAGAGTTGGTATAAAGTAAAAATATATTATGAAAAACTGATGAATTACAATGGATATTCTTCTTTCACATGATTTAGGAACTTGTTAAGGTTGGATAAAGGTTCAGAAGTTCTGAAATCATAATGCATGCGGTATAGGAACTCGTCCATATGGCTCCATAATAATCGTCCTCTGGAACCGTGGTAGGGTCTTAAAAAATACTTCAGCCTAGACCACATGCCTTCAATATTGTTTGTATGAACCCCCGTCATTGGATCGAGAAAATCACGTATATTCACGGAAGTGTTACTTACCCAATCTTCCTTGATAAAACGTCCTTTGTTGTATTTTCGCTTTCTAATTACTGTCTCATCTATTTCCACTATCTTTCCAACTCCCCCAAACGATTCATGTACTTGTGATCGCGCAAAGAAAGTGCCAGTTCGAGCAGATTTTTTTCTCCAACATATAGTACAACGAAATACAATATCATCACGGTAGTCTGCACATCATGCTGCAGTCATTTGATTGCCGCAGTCACAGACACAGGAACTTCTTAATAGTCCCGTCTGTTATAGTCGCTCAACAATCACCTCTTCTCTGAAATCTGCTGTAAAACGATCGAATGTGAGCATCTCGAATCGAACTTAGCGCCGTGACCTTGAACTTCCTCAAACGCCTCTGATTGGCTCGTCCATAAATTAGTCCTACCGTTATTCACAATGACTCAGTTTACAATGTCTATATCGAGAATGTTGTCACAATACATGCAGAAAGCCTCATGTACTATCCGTTTGCTTATAACCAGAAAGACCATCTTCTTGACAAAGGCATTGGTCACAGTAAATTTCTTGTTGACAACCAAAAAACCAACGGTAGGATATAAGTTTTCCGATCTAAAGGTCTGAATTTGTAAAATACAAATTCTTCTTACATCTATTTATTAGTTTATCTGAACACATAAACATTGGTACAAGGGGGACACCAAATACATATGCACCACACAATAGCAATGAGGTTGTGAACAGATAAAGGTGTATAATAAAAGGAAGAACAACAATCAACAGAAACTAAAGTATGAGAGTGAAATAATAATGGGAAAAGCAGTTCGGTTAGTATAAATACAACCAGAAAGAATTCGATCACAGAAGTTAAATTTACTTTTACGAAGTAAAAGAACGCTACAGAAGGATGGTCACTGGTTTCTATTCTGAGTCATGTTTGATAACGTCTCTAGCCAGTGTGTTGCACCGTCTCTAGGACCACAGCCGGGTAGTCATGAAGGACCAACAGAAGCCAGTCCTGTACAGCTTTCTTTCATACCACGACACCATGTGATACATTGACCATCTCTTCGCTTTTTAAAACCAGCCTCAAAGTCGGCAACTAATGCACGACGTGGAATTCTCTGGAACGACATTCGTACAACATGTCCGAACCACAGAAGTTGACGTTTCGAGATAATGACACTAATTAGATTACCATCGCTGTCTGTGCCAAACCTCTGTGTTATTAACATGGTATTGCCACTGGATGTCAGCAATCCTTCGGAGACAACGGTGACCAAACACAGAGTGTCGTCTAACACCCCCAACTCGGAGAGGCCAGGTCTCAAAAGAATAGAGCAAAACCGCTCTCACCGACGCGTTGTAGATCCGACCCTTTACAGCCAGACTAACAACACGAAGACGCCAAAGATGGTCCAGATTTGAACAAAACGCTCCGGCTTTCAGTATATGTGAACTGATTTCATCACTTACGCAACCACCGACATTTATGCAGCTACCCAGATACACGGACTTCTCGACTGCTTCCATCTGCTCACTACCGAGGTTGTGTGCGCTCACTCTGAGGTGTTAGTGTAAAGGATTTCAAGATGTTAATAAACTATATAAACAATCAGAGAGAACAGTCCACTCCAACGAACCGTAGGCGCTCCTAATGTTAAGAAACACGATTGCTGGCCTGTGATAAGTATGACGTTGTTCCAACATTTGGTGGTGTGAAGATATGATCAATACATCCTCAGCCAAAACGAAAACCAACATGCTCCTCATGAGTCAATATTTCTTAGGTTTTGAACAATCTACGAAGTATGGTGTAAGCCAATAGTTTGGACGCAATCGGAAGTAAACTTATCCGCCGATAGCTGTTGCATAAAAGACGTGAACCCTTTTTAAATATAACACAACCATCGACTCATCCCGTGATATTGGAACACTCTCTAATTACCCGACCTTTGTAAATAAGTTAGTCAGTACCTTAACCAGGAAGTCACCACCATCTTTGAAAATGCCGGGGGTAAGTCATCTGGGCCTGGTGACTCGTGGCGCTTCAAGAGTTGGAGTCCCAAGCGGACTTCACCTCGTTAGATGGATCGGTCATCGTGGGCCATGGAGTGTAGGACAATTTGGTCGAGTCCCGGGGCATCAGATCAGTTAAACTGCCCATCGTCCAAGATGTCGCTACATGTCACTGATTGGCGTCCCGTTAGCTTCACAGATTGTTTCACTCACACCAGACTCCTTGATATCAGTGACTCGGATGAGTTGAAAAAGCCTTCAGAGGTTACCAGATCCAGCTGCTTTTCCCAACTCGTTAGCAAGCTCCGACCACCAGGCTTCTCGGTCCTTACGCAAACTTTGCACTATTTCATTGGGTAACAATCTTCGTTTATGGTCAAACTCGCGGTCACCCGCAATAGACCGACGTGATACAATGAGTTGTAAGGAGTTTGTAGACACCCTGTTAATGGCGATCCAATAGATCAATGCTTCTTCATCTCTGGTGCTTAGTGCGACACCAACACCAGCAAAACCAGACGGTGCCACAGGGCCCCTGGATAAACGCAAGTAAAACAAGCTTTACGAAGTGGCAGATGGAGGGCGAATTTGTAGTACTCTACTAGAGTCTTGAATACAGGTCTCGGATAGACAACAGACATCGATGTTGAAGCTTTCTAAAAACATAGCCAACCCTATCTGTTGTCTGATCTGCTTTAGTATGCGTACGTTGAAAGAGGCCAGTTTGAATGGCATACGTGGTTCTAGAAAGACCGTTTTAGTATTCGTAATTTGTGGTAGCATTCCACTCTCGACCAGTCAGTGACTTGAGATCGTTTAGATGGGACAAGGTTCCCACCACAGGCGAACTTCTGTGTAAGTTGGAAAATAAAACACTCAGTGAGAATAAGGAGTACATAAGCGTTGAAATACAAAACAAACAAAAACGAATGTTACCAAATGATTTAGAATATGATTTTTCTGAATGAGCGTTGAAACAAGAGTAATTTTCCCAGCATTAATTATCAATGATTTGTGTATGAGCTGGGATACTAACCGAGTGCCCGGACCAAAGTAGGTGGTGTTCTTAGGGGGTTACTTCCTGAGCCTTTGACCTATAGGTTTAATTCAAAAAGTAGTGGGGAAACGTCAGATGCCGTCCCATGGTAGCCGATGACCAACTATAGGTTCATACACTATTCGTCACCTCAGGATCCCGGAGCCCATTTGCACTACTGGTTTGAAATCAGGGTTTCCTAACTCTCCTAGGTGGATCCTTTGTACCCATTGATCCGGTTAAAGCGCCAGACATTTGCTTTTTGTCCTCTCAATTTCGTAAATAACATCCCCACTGTGGGAAGGCAGTGAGAAGGATTTCCCTGTCTGTGGCTGGGTATGCGAGGCGATGTGAGAACATTTCAAGAGGAAGAGCGGGGTCTTCCTATTATCGGCCGTACCGGGGCATTTTGGGTACATAGCATTTGAATTACGACTTCATAATTGACGTGTTTAACTAGTATACACTTACACGCTATCACTTATGGAAACCCACATGTGCTCATGACTAACTACTGAGCACATAAAAATGCTCATGTGACTAGATAGGAAAGGTTCTGTAAAGAATCCTAAGGGGTATGGCATGAGGTCTGCAGTTCAACATTTATAATCAGTTTAGGTCAACCTTGGACAACTACCACATCAAACCTCATTGATGTCAATCTAGTATTATTGCAAGTGATCATGTTTCTTCGAATCGTATGTAAACAAAGCTTTAGTCTAGCGGATACTAGGTTCACACTAATGAGGTTTAGGCTGATGGAAACATCCTTATTTCCGGTAGCTAAGCAAACCTATTATTGCTGTATATTTATGTAAATAAGTTCGACTGGGATAGACTTCCATCCTTCAATTTTAATATTAACCCCGAGTGGCAGTCAAGAGGCCAAGTGAGTTATACATACAATTGTCTTCTCTTATAAATTACCAAAAGTGGATGCAACCTTACAAAATCATGTAGCAGACGTCTCGCAACTGACTGCTAATATGTGGAAAATGATGGGCATTTTAAATAATGCATCATTCAATACTGCGTCTAACAGTGTCGTCGATTTAACGCAGTTCCACTTCCGTCTGTCAAATTAGGACAGATAAGAAACACTGGACATACGTTCAACACAAAGGTGCAAAGGATAGATTTGTAAGGTAATAAATTTCTTTGATTATTCATTTGGATGACGGATGAATAAGGCGACCAAGTTCATGAACAACAAGACAGAGACGTCACTGAAGCATGCTCTGGCGTACATACAGATCAGAACGTGGTGAGTTCAATTTACTTGGAACTCCGAATAAGTCAGTCAGTCAGCTACAACATGCATCGGTCCAAATTGTCATACCTCATTAGCTTAAGACAAAGACCAAATTCATAGTAGTAGTTACTTCAATGACAGTAATAAATAAAAGGAAGATGGTATATAACGATACAGTACAAGAAGAAAGAATTAGAAAGAAAGGCATAAAGTAATTGTAATCTCACGGTTTAAGGGAAGACAAAGAGTGCATACACGGACGCTATTGTGATCGATTCTGAGCCATGTCACCCACAGTCTCCAACCATTGGTTACGATAGTCACGCGGACCCCACCCAAGTAGTCTGCATCTACCAATATGGCTCACACTAGAAGTTAGTGACTTCAATGACTGATGCCACGTTTTGGTTTGGCCGCCCCTAACATTCTTCCAGCCGTCTCCAACACTAGTCAGAATTGCGCGTCGTGGTAATCGGTGTCCAGGCATACATAACACGTGGCCCAACCATCTTAGTCGATGAAGAGTTTATTTTTGCGTTTCCTAAGCTCAGTGATCAGTTTTCTTGAACATTATTGTAAGCTTAACCTCATATAAACTATCTATGAAAACATATGTTCGACCAGTGTAATAATGAGTTAATCTTTTCTTTTGTGATCATTTTTTGATCAGATCATTTTTTTGGAAAACTTTAACGTTCTCGCTTTCATCAGCTATACTGAACCGAATGAGACGCAGGTGTTAAAAGCTTTTATTCAATCTATCGTTTAGAAAAGGATATACTTTAACTGTAAACTTGTATTTAACGAACCCATCATAAGCTGTTATATTTGTTTTTGATGGTGGTCGTATAGAAAATTAAGGCGAAAAGAAGTATATTTAGCATAAATTTAGATGAGACAGACTATTCGGCGTAAACTTAAGCAAAAAGTAGATTATTTGGCTACCCTTGAGGTATGAATCTCAAGACTTCACCTCATGGTAGACATTTAGGCAAAATGTTACTTTTCATGATAGGCGAAAAAACGACTCAAAGATGCAGTTGACAACAAATTTTCGTAATGGATGTTGCCTAAATATTCCACAAGTTC